GCTGAGGCAGGCTGAGGCTGAGGCTGAAGCAGGCTGATGCTGAGGCAGGCTGAGGCTGATGCAGGCTGATGCAGGCTGAGGCTGAGGCAGGCTGAGGCTGAGGCCGAGGCTGAAGGCAGACTGAGGCTGAGGCTGAAGCAGGCTGAGGCTGAGGCTGAGGCAGGCTGAGGCTGAGGCTGAGGCAGGTTGAGGCAGAGGCAGGCTGAGGCTGAGGCTGAGGCTGATGCAGGCTGAGGCTGAGGCAGGCTGAGGCTGAGGCCGAGGCTGAAGGCAGACTGAGGCTGAGGCTGAAGCAGGATGAGGCTGAGGCTGAGGCAGGCTGAGGCTGAGGCTGAGGCAGGCTGATGCTGAGGCAGGCTGAGGCTGAGGCTGAGGCTGATGCAGGCTGAGGCTGAGGCAGGCTGAGGCTGAGGCCGAGGCTGAAGGCAGACTGATGCTGAGGCTGAAGCAGGCTGAGGCTGAGGCTGAGGCAGGTGAGGCTGAGGCAAGGTGATGCTGAGGCAGGTGAGGATGAGTTGAGGTGATTTGCGGCTGAGGCTGCGGCAGGATTAGGCTGAGGCCGAGGGCCCGGACGCAGAGGGAGGCAGACTGAGGCTGGAAGCAGGCTGAGGCTGATGATGAGGCAGGCTGAGGCCTGAGGCTGAGCAGGCTGAGGCTGAGGCTGAGGCTGAGGGTGAGGCTGAGGCAGGAGCTGAGGAGCTGAGGCTGAGGCCGAGGCTGAAGGCAGACTGAGGCTGAGGCTGAAGCAGGCTGAGGCTGAGGCTGAGGCAGGCTGAGGCTGAGGCTGAGGCAGGCTGATGCTGAGGCAGGCTGAGGCTGAGGCTGAGGCTGATGCAGGCTGAGGCTGAGGCAGGCTGAGGCTGAGGCCGAGGCTGAAGGCAGACTGAGGATGAGGCTGAAGCAGGCTGAGGCTGAGGCTGAGGCAGGCTGAGGCTGAGGCAGGCTGAGGCTGAGGCTGAGGCAGGCTGAGGCTGAGGCAGGCAGGCTGAGGCTGAGGCTGAGGCTGAGGCAGCAGGCTGAGGCTGAGGCTGAGGCAGGCTGAGGCTGAGGCTGAAGCAGGCTGCTGAGGCTGAGGCAGGCTGATGAGGCTGAGGCTGAGGCTGAGGCTGAGGCTGAGGCTGAGGCTGCAGGCTGAGGCTGAGGCTGTGACCGATGCACTGCGACTGCCATCGCGAATGCGACTACGACTGCGAGAACAGCAGAATTCTACAACAGGATTCTCATCTGAATCTTAAGGGGAATGCTTCCAGATATGCTCCTACACATCGCTGTTAGGTTGCTTTGCCGGGATACTTTTTTATTTGTTATTTGTGTGTTTGTGTGTGTGTGTGTGAGTGTGAGTGTGAATGTGTGTGTGTGTGTGTGTGTGTGTGTGTGTGTGTTATGAGGTGGGTGATGGTGGCGGTACGTCATGAGGAGCTTGCTACCAGGGATCATGGGTGATGGTGTTAGATGGATGTGATGGTTGTTATGGTTGTGGCGATGATGATGGTCATGCCGATGTTTCGGATTATCATGTTGTTGGTGGTAACTCAGACGGGAATTTACGATGACGATGACGGTGATGATGATTAGGATGGTTGAGATGGTGGTGACATCGATATCTTTGGTGGTCTGGGGACACCAAAAGGCCAGACGCGTCAAGCGCACACGTATTGTCGACCTAGAAGGAAACCATTTCCCCCCAGACGTGTCCATGAGTGCATTCCGACCAGAGATTCGAAGGAAACGCAGTCGTGGCCGCTAAGGCGCACCAGGATGCCTAATAGGACCCAATGACGTCCAAGGCACACGATCGGCGACCTCGAACCTCGATCCGTCGGCCTCGCCAGTCCGCCCGCCCCAACGTCGACATCGTCGCCGCCGCCGCTGCCGTCGCCGTCGTTGTTGCCGCAGCTGTCGCCGCCGTAGCTGCCGCCGTTGCCGCCGCCGCCGTCGTCGCCGTCGTTGCCGCCGCCACTGTCGGTGTCGCCGCCGCAGCTGCCGCCGTCGCCGCCAAGGCCATCGTCCTTGTCGTCGTCGTCGTCGTCGTCGTCGTCGTCGTCGCCGTCGCCGTCGCCGTCGCCGTCGCCGTCGCCGTCGCCGTCGCCGTCGCCGTCGCCGTCGCCGTCGCCGTCGCCGTCGCCGTCGCTGTCGCCGCCGTCGCCGCCGCCGCCGCCGCTCGTGTCGTCGTCGATATCGTCGTCGCCGTGCTGTCAGGGATGCCGACCGTGGCCTCGCGGCAGATGGCGCTGCCGTGGCTCACCGCGATCGGCGTTGGCGCCCTCGGCGGTCTGCTCCTGCTGCGGCGGTTCTCGGCGGACTTCTACGACATCGTGATCGTCCGCATGACGGAGGGGGCGGCGGCGAGTCAGTTTGGCGGCGAAATCCGAACCTTCTCCTCAGCGATCCACGATTCAGGTAACTAAATGGGTGGCAGGGGTAGGGTTCGGAGTTCGTCGAACACTTGGCGGAATTCGAGCCCTACCCCCGCCTCCTCTCGAGTCAGGAGGATCGATGGCTGGTGGGGGTCTGACTCGGATGTCGAGGCGAAGGGAGGACAGGAGGAGGAGGAGGAAGGGGGAGGAGGAGGAGGAGGACGAGGAGGAGGAGGAGGACGAGGAGGACGAGGAGGAGGAGGACGAGGAGGAGGGGGAGGAGGAGGAGGAGGAGGAGGAGGAGGAGGAGGAGGAGGAGGAGGAGGAGGAGGACGAGGAGGACGAGGAGGACGAGGAGGACGAGGAGGACGAGGAGGAGGCGGGGATCGAGCTTTTCTTCGGCTTCGGCTTCTCGGGGCCCCCTTGTGGGACCGGGGACCGCCATAGGTCGACCCAGGACGGGGCACCGACGAGGACGGGCCCGCGCGAGGGGGTCCGAGCGTTTTTTTTTTTTTTTCCTCTTCATGGGGGGTCAAATCCTGGTCGTCTTTGGCCCTTGTGGGTCTCCCAGGGCGTTCTCGTGGCCAGTCCAGGGATGCAGAAATCTGGGCCTTCGTGCAGTGGATCGCCTCTCTTCTTCTTCTTCTTCTTCCTCCCCGTGGAGGGTTGGAGGGAGGGAGGGAGGGGGAGAGGAGACCTGCGCCCAGCGCGCCCCTTGCTTGCACGTGTCAGCCCCGCCGTGTCCCGTGCCGGCTCCCTTCGGACGCACCCGCCTGGCCTCGGCTTCTCCTTGTTCTCCCCAACCTCCGCCTCCGTCGCCGCCGCCTCCCCCTCCGCCTCCACCTCCTGCCCCGCCTCCTCGCCTCCTCGCCTGCCCGCCTGCCCGCCACTCCCGCCCCCGCCTCCCCGCCCTTTGCGAACGGGAGGGAGGGATCAGAGAGCTAACCCTACCAGGAACAGTAACCCGCAGGTGCGAGCCGAAAGGGGCAGCAGTAGGAGTGAGGATAGGGATGAGAAATGGTACACTCATTCAGGAGGGACAGATAGTCACAGACTCGAGCAAACGCCGCTTCCCTGGACAGGTGTGGGAGAGCATGGTAGTACGTGGAGGGGAAGACACGAACATCTAGAGAAAAGAGCTGGCGCAGTGCAGGTCATCCTGGACCTCTTCGCTCACTTCACTCGTCTCCCTGGGCCCCTTTGCACCCCTCCCCGCCCCCGCCCCCCGCCCCCGCTCCAGCAGCACCGGGGGCTCCGGCAGCCGCCCCCCCGGCCTCCCCCGCGGCTCCGCGGGGCCCTCGGCGGCGAGCGCGCGGCCCGCCGCCCCGCCGCGGCCCGCCGCGGCCCGCCGCGGCCCGTGGGGATGGCGGCGGTCGCCGCGGCGGCCGCGGCGCCCCCCGCGCGGAGCTGGTCGGCCAGCACGGGCCCGGTGCCCCCGTCGTCCCCCGCGTCGTCCAAGAAGGCCGGCGGGGCGCCACAGCCGCAGCGCGACGAGCGAGCAGCGGCCCCCCCCTCCCGTGCCCGTCGGGGGGGGTTGGGGGGGAGGAGGGCTGGCGGGGGGGATGGGTTGCGGGCTGTCGGAGCGTGCCGGTTGTTGAAAGTAGGCACCTGTGTAATCCCAGATCCCAATATACTTTCCTCCTCCTCTTCTTCCCCCCTATCCTCCTCCTCCTCTTCCTGTGTGTGTGCGCGTGTGTGATGTTCGTCCGTCGGCACACCCGCCCAAGGCCTCCTCGCGCCAATGACGAGGCCACGGGCGGCGGCAGGTTTCTTTCCCGACCGCCCGCGCCCGTCGGGCCCGCCCTCTGGGCCCCCGGGGGCGTCGGGCAATGTCCAGGAGGGACACAAAAACACCCACGAACGCGATGGGTCACCAGCATGGGTACGAGTTTGCGCCGGATCAGATGTTCTTGGTGACGTCACTTTGATGTAGGCTGAGTTGTGCGGGTCTATTGTAGCAGTTGAGGTCGCCACTGCTTTCGCGAGCAGCGCTCTGAGTGCTGAAGTGATCCGTAGCAGCTGCTGTCGCGTACTCGAGGCAGTTTAATGAAGAGCGTATCGGCGAAGGGACACCCTTAGTGCAGCCTGAAACAAACAGACACAAAGAATCGTCGATCCCCAGGAGATAGGGGAAAGTTTGGGAATGGTCCTGACCGCCCGCGACTGCCGGGCCCTCTCTGGGCCCCAGGGGCGCCAGGAAACGTCCAGGAGGGGCAACAAAGCACACAGACGCAAAGAGTCGTCGATCCCCAGGAAGATAGGGGAAACTCTGGGAATGGGATGGGGAAGACGAGAACCCCGAACATGTGGGAACGTAGGGGGAACTCTGGGACTTGTGCCTATTTATGTGTGGCTCCTTCCAGCGTCTCGGGGTTCAAGGCCAGCCCAGGGGGAGGGGGGGCCAGACCTCCGGGGGCCCATGCTGTGTGGAAGATTACGGCGTGGGAGTTCTGGGAGCGCTGCGGGGTTCCTCGGAGATTTCTGGCCTCTCCGGGGTCTCCCGGGGCGCCCTCGCCGCCATGACCGGCTCCGCTCTCTGCCAGGCCCCGCGGCAGGAGAGGCCCGCGGTATCGGTGTGTACGCCTTGCCAGGGACTTGCATCCGCAGACGGCATCTATACAGCAAGGCCGTGCACGCCCAGGTCCAACCTGGGCCCCATGACTGTGTGTAGACCCTCCTGGCCTTGGCCAGGAGGGCGTGTGTACCATGCTGGGTCCCGGGATGACCCAGGCAAGGCATGGTGGTGGTGGTGGTGGTGTATAGGACCCTCCTGCGTATTGTTCACCGACCCTGGGCCTACAGTGGGCGTGTCCAGGGTCGGTGTTGGTGCTTAGTTGGCGTCCTCCCAATTTCGAAGGGCGGCCTCAGCTACCTCGGGGAGGTCTGGATCATGCTGCGCTGGACCTGGCCGCTCCTGCTGGGCAACACGCTGGAATGGTACGAGTTCGGGGTCTACGGGTATGTCGAGGCGGAGATCTCCGACAACTTCTTCGGGGGCTCTCAGGACGACGACGACGAAGACGACGAAGACCCCAGCCGCCGTCCTGGCCTGTCCTTGGGCACGTTCTGGCCAGAATTGCGGGGGAAATCTGGCCGTGGCGACTTGGGATCTGCCCGCATCCACCGCTCCTGGGCCCAGGATGGGCCTGGCCAGTGGCGGTGTCCATGTACAGATCTCGCCGCCCAACAACTACTGGGGGTGCCCCAGGACAGCCCCAGAAGAGGCCCCAGAGCGAACCGCTGCGACGACGGCGGCGACAGGTCTCCAGAGATCTCCCTGGGCCCAGAAATCCCTGAGCCCTGAGAACCGACGTTGCGAAGACATGCAACATCAAAAAGATTTCGACGGGACCCCTCGACGCCTTCCTCCCTCGTCAGTTTTCGGGTCAGATCGATCCGTGAGGGTCCTGGGTCCCGAAACGGGGCGAAAACGAGGCCCAGACTGGATGGGTATGGCGGCCTTCGGCCCTCAAAGGGTTTGAAAAGGAACCGCTCTCGTTGATCCACTCTTCTTCTCCACTCCTCTTCCTCCTCTTCCTCTCTTTCTCTCTCTCTCTCTCTCTATCTCTCTCCCGCTCTCTTCCTCTCCCCTTCTCTTCCGTCTTTTCGGAGGGTGGAATCAATTCTTGACGTTTCGCGTATCCCCATCAGCTGGCCCGGCCGGCCCGTTCCGCGCCCTGCAGCTAATTAGGTCTGTTTCCGTGCCCCGGACAGCTTCTGTTGCCGCCTGCGCTCTTCGCTCGCGGCCGCGACCGAAAAAAGTATCCCCATCAGCCCATCCAGAAATGATGCCCATGAGAGCTGACGGGGGGAGAGGAAGCGGCACGCATAGTGAAACAGCGAGGGAGGCTGGCCTGGACGGCGTGTTGGGGCCATCTCCGGGCCCGCGTGGGGGGGGGGCGAAGAGAAGGAGGAGAAGGAGGAGGAGGAGGAGGTGGAGGAGGAGGAGAAGGGAGGATGCATAAGGAGCAAGACGAGAAGAAGGAGGACAAGGATGAGGAGGACGAGGACTAAGAGAGTGAGGAGGAGGAGGAGGAAGGGGAGGGGGAGGAGGAGGGAGGAGGAGGGAGGAGGAGGGAGGAGGAGGAGGAGGAGGAGGAGGAGGAGGAGGAGGAGGAGGAGGAGGAGGAGGAGGAGGAGGAGGAGGAGGAGGAGGCGGAGGAGGAGGAGGAGGAGGGAGGAGGAGGAGGAGGAGGAGGAGGGAGGAGGAGGAGGGAGGAGGAGGGAGGAGGAGGAAGGAGGAGGACGGGACGAGGGGAGGATGGAACGACGGAGGAGGAGGAGGAGGAGGAGGAGGAGGAGGAGGAGGAGGAGGAGGAGGAGGAGGAGGAGAGGAGGAGAGGAGGAGGAGGAGGAGGAGGAGGAGGAGGAGGAGGAGTAGGAGGAGGAGGAGGAGGGAGGGGAGGAGGAGGAGGCGTTGGAGGAGGAGGAGGAGGAGGAGGAGGAGGGGAGGATAGGAGGAGGAGGAGGAGGAGGAGGAGGAGGAGGAGGAGGAGGAGGAGGAGATGACGAGGACGATGGGGGCCTCTTGGGAGGGCTCCGTCGCCATATCGAGCCGTCTTGGAACGGTCTTGGGGCCTCTTGGAGCATCTTAGGAACCATCTTGAGCCAGCTTGGGGGCTATCTTGAGCCATCTTGGAGGTCATCTTGGGCTCTCTGAGGCCGCTCGGGGGCCTCCTGGGTGCCTCTCGGGTGCCTCTTGGAGGCCTCTTGGTGCCTTTTCGGGCGCTCTTGGAGCCCTCTTTGGGGCCTCACTGAAAGTGGCACCTAGAGTCTTACAGGAATCTCGAAGTCCCCTTGTACATGAATCCTTCCTACGGAGTCCTGTTGGAGGACATCTTTACTTAACGAGTAGTCGCACACTGAGTTCGTACTAATGAAGGATTGCTATGTTAATCGTTGATACGGGGTTCCTTCCTTACCAAGGAACACTTACTATAGGTTTCCTTACAAACGCAATGTTTGCTCGCACGGATCCTTAGAATCCTGAATGCATTTTCAGTGGGAGGAATCCGTACGAAAGAGACCCCTTCACAAGGAATCTGAGTAAGGAGTCACTACCAAGTACTCTGTTGCTGAAGTAATATTGAAGGACAAACCATCGTGGAAGGAGTGAGACAGAAGTCATTGACCAGGAGATCCTTACTGTATGGTTCTTTATTGAAGGAATCCTTACCAAAGGCTTCCTTGTTGAATGCGTCATCACGTAAGGACTTTTATATGAGAAATGAAGCCCTACTGACTGGATCGTTTTTTGTTTCAACACGTCCTTACTCAGGAGTCAGTATTTTGTGGAATCCTTATTCAAAAGGGTCCCTACTTAGGAATTCTTGTTGCCCTTTCGTGAAATAACATCACGTTGATCTCCAAAGCGGGCCAAGAGGGTAACGAGGCTCATCAAGAGGAGTAGGAGTAGGAGGAGGAGGAGAAGGAGGAGGAGGAGGAGGAGGAGGAGGACGAGGAGGAGGAGGAGGAGGCGGAGGAGGAGGAGGAGGAGGAGGAGGAGGAGGAGGAGGAGGAGGAGGAGGAGGAGGAGGAAGGGAGGAGCACCGAGCAGGGAGGAGGGCCGAAAAGCCCGCCTGATCCATCCGCTCTTGCGCCTGGTAAAACGCCCGCTGCGGAGCAGATTGCGACGCCAGGCTCTGAGGGAGGGCCAGAAGCGCCAGAGCGCGCCCGCCTCCTCGACCCTCGAGGCCCTCGAGGCCCTCGAGGTCCTCGAGGTCCTCGAGGCCCCGCCCCGCCGCTGCTGCCGCCGCCTCGCGGCCGCGGCCGCAGTCGTCTTCCCCGCCGCCGCCGCCGCAGTTGTTGCCGCCGCCCGCCGCCTCTGCCGCCGCGCTCGCCGCCGTCGCCGCCGTGGAGCCTCGGCCCTCGAGCCTCGAGCCTCGCAGGAGGGCGGCTGGCTCGGCTTCGCGGTGACGTTCGTCGCGCGGCCGGTGGGGGGCTTCCTCCTCGGCTGGGTCGCGGACAGATGGAGTCGCAAGCTCGCCGTGAACCTGTCCCTGGCCGGCATGATTGTGGCGACCGTGGGGCAGGCCAGGACCCCAGTTCTTCCAGTCCTCTCCGTACTGTCGGGTATAGCCAGGACCCCAGATGAGGGGACCAGGTTAGTGGTTGGGCCCTGGAGCCCCTAAGCTTGCCAGAATCACTAAACCAGGTCTGCCGTAGCTGGTGTTTTTTTTCGGGTGACGGCAGTTCCCGTTAGTGGAACGGGGCGGGGGGGCGCCCCCGAGTACAAATAGTTAAACCAGGTCCCACTAAGCCCAGTTCTGTCAACGCCCGATACTGCCTCCTCCCTCCAGAGGCCATCGCGATTCGATCGATCCGACTCGATCCAGATTCTGGCCGGCTCGATCCGCTTCGCTTCCAAGATTTCAGGGAGCGCTCTCTGCAGCTGCCAGCGCGGGGGGGTCTGCTGGAGCTGTCAAGGCGTCAGACTGGATGGGGTTGGGGCGTTGTCGGCCCTCTTCCGTGAGCTCTGGTCCTTCCTTCCTCTTTCTCCTCCTCCTCTTCCTCCTCCTGCACCTCCTCATGTTTCATGTCGCCAGTATCACAGAGCGGAGTTCGTTCGGAAAACAACAGGATGGGCCCAGGGGGTCCTGGAGAATTTCGTTCCGGATTTCGAAGTGCATTTCGTGTTTTTTTTGGGGGCCAGGACTGGAGGCTAAAACAATCCACGTGAAGTTCACTTTGTTTTTCGCTCGCCGCTTCGGGGTCTTGCGCTGACAGTAATCCACGCAGATATCCGCTGCAGCACGTCTGCGAGGTCGGTGCAGTGACCCTTGTATTGTTGTACAATCGGGGCTGGACAGACCCCCCACCCTGACACGTCGATTAGTGAATTGTTCGTTTTCGGTTCTCGAGAGGGCGCCGCGACCGTCATTTTCCAGGTTGGCGCCCTCCAGGTTTGGGCCCGAGGTCGTTTTTACTAAACCGCGTTTCACTAAAGGGGGTTCTATCCATCCCCGATGCAATCTTTAGTAGGGAATGCGTATTACAATGTTACCATCTTGAGGATCTTTTCGTCTGGATTCCTCAAGTCGGCGTTCTGAGTTGAGGCTCCCGTGGCTGAAGACTCCTCTAACTGTGGGTTCCCGCTTCATATTGCTTGGAGATGTCATTGAGACTCCCTCTGTGAGGATTCTCCAGCAAGGGTTCCTCAGAAATGGCTTCTCGGGAGGCATTCCTCAGTGAGGAACCGCTGCTGGAGTGTCCTCCATTCAAGACCTTCTCGTGAGGATGCCCCAATTAGGATTTCGGTACTACGGATTCCTCACCTAGGACTCCGAAACTATGATTTGCCCTGACCGCGCCCTCTTGGGCAAATGTCAAAGGAAGCCCTTCATATTTGAAGACTATAGTTTCAATTCGGCTTTGCCTCTTCTCCCTCCTCATCATCATCCCCCTCCTCCTCATCCTCCTCATCATCAGCCTCCTTCCCACCTCCTCATTCCTCTCTATTGCGACGGATGCCTCCCATTCGTCAACATCCTTCTCTCCCTTCTTCTCCTGTTTATTCTCCCCTCCTCCTCATCGTGCTCTTTCCCTTCTTCCTCCACGTCGTCTTCCTTCTCATCCTGCTCCTCTTGCCCCTCCTTCTTTTCTGGGAGGTTACGCGTATATTCCTTGTGTGCATGGTTTGTACACGTATTCCGTTTGTGTAGAAATCAATTGTTTTTTTTAAAATGAATGGCGGAACTCATAACAACCTAAGGACACCAGCAAAAGCAAAGAAACCAAACGCGGCTTGTAGACTACCTTGAACACGTGCGGACAAAAACAAACACAACCAACAACACCAAAGCTATTCCACTGTTGCACCAAAGCTACTGCCCCCCCCCCCTCTCTCCCCGTTCCATCATCATTCCCACCACCTCCACCTCGCCGTTCACTCTCCTTCCTCACCCTCCTCCTCCTTCTGTAGTGGATCCACAGAAGGTTTCCTTCCGTTGGGGGGTACAGCAGAAACCGCTTTGTGAGTGAATTGCACATCGATTCCTTATGGTAGCTTCGGGAAACCAAAGCAAGCCCAAGGCAACACGGCACCAAATGCGGATTGCAGATCACCGTTAAACCGACGGTCAAACCAACAACACCCAAACCATCAAAGTTTTCAGCACTCCCTCCACTGTTGCACTGCCCTATTGCCCCCCCCCCTCTCTCCCCTTTCCATTCTCATTCCCACCATCCTCACCCCGCCGTTCTCTTCCCCCCCCTTCCTCCTCCTCCTCCTCCTCCTCCTCCTCCTCCTCTTCCGCCTCCTCCTCCTCCTCACCCGCTGCTGACCATACTCCCCATGATGATTCGCCTTTCCTCCTCCTCCTCCTCCTCTTCCTCCTCCTCCTCCTCGCCTTCCCTCCTCCCTCTTGCTGCCCTCTCATCGAGGAGGAGGAGTGGGAGGAGGAGGATGAGGATGAGGAGGAGGAGGAGGAGGAGGAAGAGGAGGAGGAGGAGCAGGAGGAGCAGGAGGAGGGGGCCGAGGGGGATGATGATGATGATGATGATGAGGAGGAGGAGGAGGAACACTAGGAAGATGAAGAGGAAGAGAAACACCAATAATACGACGAACAGTACTAGTACAAATAGTAATACTACTACAACAGCAATAGTACCAACCATGAACACTCTAAGCGTACTCGTACGGACCTTACGAACAGCGAGACGCACATCCATACGAATACTATTAATCACAACCATAGTAATAACAACAATCATACCATCGCCGCTATTCATAATTCTAGTAATAATAAGGCGAATGTGTTTCTTCTTGCCAGCAACACCGCGATACATTCCACAATCAAAGTAGTTTGCACTCATGCTCATATCACTCATTTCTCTTGTAATACTAGTAACGCTATCACAAATACGAATACTATAACACTCAGAGAACGAACACGATGATTCATAACAATACAAGTATGAATAATAACAATCAACATGAAAGTACGATTAAATACTTACTATTCACAACAATGCATAAGCATAAGACGAGGAGTCGGAGGAGTCGGAAGAGTCGGAGGAGTCGGAAGAGAAGGAGGAGGAGGAGGAGGAGGAGGAGGAGGAGGAGGAGGAGGAGGAGGAGGAGGAGGAAGAGGAGGAGGAGGAGGAGGAGGAGGAGGAGGAGGAGGAGGAGGAGGCGGCGGCGGCGGCGGCGGAGGAGGAGGCGGGGCGGAGGAGGAGGAGGAGGAGGAGGAGGAGGAGGAGGAGGACCCGCAGCAAGTGGAGGAACTGGAGCATGATGAGGTCGCGGCTTGCCCTTTTCCGAGGGCCTGCTTCCTGGCGAGCACTTCGGCAGGGACCTCAAGGGCCTCGGCCTTGTGGGGCTTGTCTTCTGCCGGGCTCTGCAGGGCCTCTCCGTTGGCGGGGAGATCGGGGCCATCTCGAGCTGGCTGATGGAGGCCCCTCGCCTGCTCCCGTCGGGGGGGGAGTGGCAGGAGGATCGGCGGCTTCTGACGAGCTCTCGCGTGGAGCTGAGCGGGTCTCCTGTAGACTTGGGGATATCGGGGCCATCTCGAGCTGGCCGATGGAGGTCTCTCCCTAATCTCGCAGTGAGGGAAGACGGGGAGGAGGAGGAGGAGGAGGAGGAGGAGGCGGAGGAGGAGGAGGAGGAAGAGGTGGAGGAGGCTGAGGAGGAGGAGGAGGAGAACCGTAGCCATTTGGCTCAAGGCTAAACGTTCTGACGGGCTAAGGACGCCCGAGAATCAGCGATTAGCTTTGGAGCTGTCCGTTGGCATCTCTCGAGTTTGTTCTGCGTGAGACTGGCACCCCTTGTGCCCACGCTCTTCATTTCCAGTCCGTGGGTGATGCGTCGCGGAGTCTACGGTAGGGATGGTGGCGCCAGCGGGCAGATCATCTGCTCAACGTGCGGGGGCAAGAAGAATCCTCACCATTTCCGTGTGTGCTGACATGGCAACGCTGCTCCTCCCGTGGTCTAACTTGTGCGGCCAGGGCCGTGACATCGTGTGGGCCAGGGAGGGGCATGGGGCCAGTCTGGCTCGAGTCCCAAAGGCGGGGGGTTGGCTCTTGCCAGGTCCAAGCCGCCTGCCAGGGCCATGGATGAGCTCCACCGCCTGGTCCAGTTGGTGGGGCCGAACGGGGAGTTCAAAAACATGTTGCACCCCGCAGCCAAGGAGGGGATCAACGCAGCATGGACCGCGGCTCAGGAGAAGAAGCAGACAATCCCGCCCAGCCAACTCTTTTTCCGTGCTAAACAAGAGGGGACCAAGCGGTGCAGGAAGATCGAGCGCCTCGAACAAGAGTATTGCGAGTTGGTGGACTATATGGCAGCACTGGTGGTCCAACGTGACGAGCTGGTTGCAGCCATCAGGAGTGAGACGGAAGCTGCGGATGAGGCCAAGCGAGCTGCTGCCGCACGGGTGGGTGACATCTGCCCCGTAGCAACAAGACGTGCGAGGGCAGCTCCAAACCCAGTACTTGGGAGTGGTCAGCGCCATCAAGCGAGCTTTCGCCACTGCTGGAGGAGGAGCCGCCGACCAACCCCAACCACGTGAAGGGCGCTAACCAGACCCAGGTGCAGTCCATCGGGCAGTACCTTGACTCATGGAGGTGGAGGACAGTGACTTGGCCGAAGCTTGTGATGCAGTGGGTGTCCAAGGCGAAGCAAGAGCCACCTTCGTCGCGAAGATCAGGGAGCAGACCTTGCAGAAGGCCAAAGGCAGGGGTCAAGCAGATCCAGGACCGCCGAGGCACTCCACGACGCCACCGCGTTTTCGTTCCGTATCCAGCGGTCGCCCGACGCCCCCCCGTTCTTATGAGGCCGAAGGCCAGCAGTGTTGGGAAAACGCATAGGTCTGGGTTGGTGTTAGAACGCAGCCTGCATAGCTCTTCCTCTCGCTTGCCTTTTGGGGAACCTTGGGGTATCTATGTTGGTAGGGGGTCCTCCCGCGCCTCAGAGTGGCGTCGGTGCCAAGGCAGGCGCGGCTCCCTCGCCCAGCCCGTCGGAGATTGGCCGTTGGGGCCCTCTGGCGGGGCCTGCTGCGGTATGTAACCGTTCTGGTTATTTGGGAGGTAGGGTCGCCGCCGCCAGAGAGGGTGTGCCTCTCGTTGCCCATGGAGTCTACGAGGGCCCAGAGTCGGGCTCCTTCGTCGGCTACGCCGTTGTCTACCTCAATTTCCAGTCCCGCGGCCGCGCTCTCCGTGCCAGAGAAAGTGGAGACTGCCCTCGCCTCGCAGCGCCCAGCCGTCACCATGTCGAGCAGAGCACCGCTGGTGGCAGGCTTACTCGGAGTGGGCGGACACTTGGATGTCTCGGTGTCGGAGGAATCATTGGATGTACGGTGCAGCGCCTCGCATCATGCAGAATTGCCAGGCGGGGATCGATTGCCTTCAGTTTCTGCGCAGAAGTCGAGTTCCGCACCCACTTCTCTTTCATGCCGCGAGGCCAAACTGTCTGATCCTGAGGAAGTGGAGACTGCCAGTACCTCCCGGCACCCAGCCGTCGCCATGTCGAGCAGAGCTCCGCTGGAGGAACGCTCACTCGGGGTGGAAGGACACTGGGGAGACTCCGCGCTGGTGGAATCGCTGGAGGGTCGGTGTAGCGCCTCACAGGCAGATGAATTGCCGCGCGTGGACCAATTGCAGCCAGTCGCCGCGTCAGCTGGGCCACCAAATCTGACCGAATATAGACAGCGAGCACAGGCCCAGCCCATGCGTTTCGCCGCGTTCAATGAGTCCAGCTGGGTGGGAGATACACAGGCGAACATGGAAGGGCCAGAGTACCAGTCCAGAGTGCCCAGCTTCTCGGAGTTTGTGCAGACTACGACCGCGGACTTTGCGTTTCTCCAGGAGCATCGCGTGCAAGGAGCTCTATGCAGCCGCCAGGCTGCCCGTTTGCAGAGAATCGGTTGGTGCGTGCATGGGGCGCTTTGCTTGCTTACAGACAGTGGTCGACCGTCATCTGGAACGTTTCTCATTGCGCGGAACCATCTCGATGCGTGGGTTCCGCCAGGTGGGTCTTCCGGCATCGAGGCAGGTCGAGGACCCAATGTCTGTTTCAGGAGTGCTAAGATCGGTGTGTTGGCATGTTATTCCGTCTGCCCGGGAGACCCGGAGGGAATGGGTGCGCCAAATCGTCACGTTTTGGAGGCCATCTGGAGGGATTGTTTCCAGCGCAGCTTACCTTGTGCTGTCGCAGGTGACTTCAACATCAAGCCGTCCGTTGTGCGCCCTCATGTTCCAAGGCAGCTGGGGGGGGTCGTTCGAGCCGCGGAGGAGTCTGCGTGTGTGGGCTCAAGCTCGTCCGTCATCGACTGCATCGTGGTCCGCCGCGTTATGGACTTCGCACTTCCGACCGTGTCGAGGTGGGCCTGCGCGCTCCGTTCGGCCCGCGCAGGCCAGTATCGTTGCAGGTCAAAAGTATGATTGGTGACGCCGGGGTTGGGGTTCCGAAGCCTTGCCGGCGTGTTCCGAATTTGCCCGCCTCTGGCCCTTGGGAGGCCCCGCCTGATAATCGGGGTCTGATGGGCCCGTTGGAGGACTTCCCGGAGAAGTGCAGGGGCGAGCCTGGGCGCGGGGAAGCGGTGACGGGGGGTCTCGAGCTAGAGGGCCTCGAGGTCTTCAACGATGCGCACTCTGAAGTGTAAGCGCGTTCCCTGGCAGGCCTCTCAGCTGGGCCCTCGACAGGCCCAGGGAGATCAAGGCGTTGATCTCCGAAGGAAACTTGGGTAAGTGCTAGGTGGGGCTTCTTGATCAACGTGATAGGCCTCCGGAACATGGAGGGCCGTTTCGTCGACGCTGGCGAGTAGGAGGTCAGGTTTGGCACCCGTGGTGTGCGGCGATGTCCAGGTCACTTTGGGGCGCCGCTTCAGAAGCTCTGATCGCCTGGGGATCCTGGGAGCTTCCATGGGGCGCGTTCCCTCCCGAGCGAAGTTGGGCCTCCTCGGGGGCAGATCCAGGGCTGGGGCCTCGTGGGCCCAGTGGGGCGCCGAAGTCGCTGAATCCAGCGTGCCTTCACGTGAGAGGAGTGTCTGGAGGAGAGCGTGGAATGGGGGCGAGGAGAAGCTGGGGGGAGACGATATTCTCATCCATTCCATGGCCACCCCTGTCCCCGAGCCTCGAGATGTCGACCGACTCCGACGCGTCAGTTCGCGATTCAAAGCGTTCGCGTGCAAGCCGTGTGGGTTCATCCTCGCCATTTCAGTTCCTTGTGCGATGCCATCCTTCGCATTCTAGCAGTGCTTTTCCATCTCGTTGATATTGTCGGTCATGCCCCCCGGCAGACGCAGCAGTTCATTGTCTTCCTCGTGGGGGGGCCCGACAGGGATAGGGGGCCAATCGGCCGCTGCAATGGCATCGCGCGTCTCCGCGGCAAGTTGCATAGTGGCCCGCGTCGCCGCCTGGAGGAAGCCGTCGGATTAGGCTTTGAAATTTCGATGGGGAATGGGAGGGGTGCTCTTGACATGGTGTGGCGCCAGTGTGTCCATGCTGTGTTCGGGGCAGGCTGTGACATTCATTGGTGCGCGGTGTCGTGGGGCATTCTGCTGCAATTCCACGAGCATGTTGGTCATCGGCAGTTGCTCGATCAATGTGTTTTGGAGGGGTTTCCCTTTTCATGTGTTGGTGTGCACGCTGTCTGCGTATCGGTGGCCAAGGATCCCGCTGCGCGACGGGGCCTTCGGGGCTCCAGTTTGGCGGGGCAGAGGGGGCGTGGCTGAGGCTGACGGCGCGTCGGCTACGTCCGTGTTCACCGTGGAAACTGGATTAAAGCTGGCAAAACTTCGGCTGGCACGAGCCACACTCGTAGGGGAATCCTTGAGGTGGCTGGATGAAAGACCGCGTGCAACGCCAAGCAGGGGCGTGGAGAAGAGGTGAACATGCTGAAGTGGCCGTTCTTGAACGGGTACAAACGGTCTGGACCTGGGACTTGGGGCAGAACCAAAGCGAAGCTGCCCAGACAAACATACCGGGTGAATTGCCGGACAGCACCAGGAAGACTCTGAGGGGGCAGCCCAGAGGCAGCGGCCAGGATTGGTGAAGCACGGTACTAGCCGGCCGCTCTGCGGTTGATCGGGAGTTTCTGTATATAGAAGAATGGGCGTGCGCTTCTCGGCTCGAGGAAAATTCTCGAGATGGAAATGAACGTTAGGATCAGGAGGGCGAGGCTCGCGAGGGGGAGGATCAGGACAGTGAGGGTCACGCGGGTGAGGATCAGGCGAGCGTGTAGCAGGAGGGTGAGGATGTGGAGAAGGAGGACCCAGGGAGCGAGGATGGCGGGCCCAGGGAGCGAGGATGGTGAGGATCGGGCGGGCGTGGAACAGGAGAGGGGCACCAGCAGAGGGGAGCGAGGATAAGCAGAAAAAGGACCACGAGAAGTGGGCAGATCAGGAGAATGAGAAAGAGGAGGGCGAGGAGCAGGATCGCGAAGCAGGAGGGTGAGGATAGAGAGCGAGAGTCAGGAGAGTCAGGAACATGGAGCCAAAGAGGCGCCTTGTCTGTCCACGACCAAGTTTGGCCCCCAAATGCCACAAGAAACCATCGAGAGGCCTGCTCCTCCTCCTCCTCCTCCTCCTCCTCCTCCTCCCCGCAGCCAGCGCGTCGGCTGTACGGTAGATCCCGACAGGCTTCTACCATTGATCCAGACCATGCAGGCATCCAGCCCCTCCTGCTCCCATGCTCACAACCTCCTCGTCCTCCACCTCCCCGAACTCTCCTCCTCCTCCTCCTCCTCCTCCTCCTCCTCCTCCTCCGCCTCCTCTTTTTCCTCCTCCTCCTCCTCATTCTCGTCCTTCTCCTCCTCATGCTCCCGCCTCCTCTTCCTCCTCCTCCTCCTTCTCATCCTCTTCCTCTTCCCGGGTCTGGCTTGAAAAGGAACACGGGGGCCTCTGATGGCCTCCCTGGGGAGGCTCGGGGGGCGGCTTTTCTGCGGATGTCCCACGCGGGGGCGCCGGTTTGGAATTCGTCGCCGGACTCGCCGGATTCGCCGGACGTCGCCAGATATTTGCCGGACTTCCCGGATGCCCGAAACGGAGCAGAGGGGGCCACGGAGAGGGCCTCCTGGGGGAGGCTCCGGGGACGGGTTTCTGCGGAGGATGTCCCACACGAGGGCGCCAGTCTGGAATTTTGTCGCCAGATTCGCCCGACTCGCCGGATGTCGCCAGATCTGCCGGACTTCCCAGATGCCCGAAACGGAGCAGGGGGTCCACGGAGAGGGCCTCCTGGGGGAGGCTCCGGGGACGGGCGGAGGATGTCCCACACGAGGGCGCCAGTCTTGGCTTTTGTCGCCAGATTCGCCCGACTCGCCGGATGTCGCCAGATTCGCCGGATTTCCCAGGTCTCGCCTGAAACGGAACGGGGGGGGCGGTCGGCGGGGCCATTGTCTCGCGCGCCGGGGGTCAGGATGACGTTGGTTCCACAGCAACTCCTTGAAGTCAGGCGGGCAGGGAGCCCAGAGGGCGAAAACCCGACCAGCGGCAGGGAGCCCCGAGGTCGAAACCCGACCAGCCTGGGAGAACCAGGTAACCAGATCCCAGACAGCGTGGGGGAAATCGTGGCGAAAACCCAGACACCGTGTGTGAGCAAACTGGGTGCCCTGAGTGACGGACAAGTGGGGCGTACTTTTATTGCTATGTTGAATGCAAGCCGCACCTGTCGCACCCATCTGTGTCGATCAGAACTCAGTACTCAGCGCTGTACTAGTCACACCTGGCGCCGCGAGTGCATGAAGGGAGGTAGGAGGGAAGGGGCACATAGAAGGAGGAGGGTGGGAGGATCGAGGAGGAGAGCTAGCGAGCGCGCTGATGGAGGTCTCTGCCTGCTCCCTCGTCCCCCCTTGTCGTCCCCCTCCTCCCTCCCTGCTCCACCCTCGTCCCTTCCCTTCCTTGCTCCGACGTCTTCCATCCTTGTTCCACCCTCTCCCTTCGGTGCTCTTTCCTCCTTGCTCCTCCCTCCTCCTCCTCCTCTTCCTCCTGCTCCTTTCCTCTCGCCAGCGCTTGAATGAAGGCCTCCCCGCTGGCCAGTGTCGGCATGGCCGTGTCGATGATATCCGTTGGGAGCCAGGCAACCTGGCGGGGGAGGAGGAGGAGGAGGAGGAGAAGGAGGAGGAGGAGGAGGAGGAGGAGGAGGAGGAACAGGAGGAGGAGGAGGAGTGGAGGAGGGAGGAGCAGGAGGAGGAGGAGGAGGAGGAGGAGGAGGAGGAGGAGGAGGAGGAGCAGGAGCAGGTGGAGGAGGAGGAGTAGGAGGAGGAGGAGGAGGAGGAGAGGAGGAGGTAGGAGGAGGAGGAGGGGAGGAGAGAGCAGAGGGCAGGCAGGGCAGGAGGAGGGAGGAGGAGGAGGAGAGGAGGAGGAGGAGGAGGAGGAGGAGGAGGATGGAGGAGGAGGAGGAGGAGGGGAGGAGGAGGAGGAGGAGGAGGAGGAGGAGGAGGAGGAGGAGGAGGGGAGGAGGAGGAGGAGCAGAGGAGCAGGAGGAGGAGGAGGAGCAGGCAGGAGCAGGAGCAGGAGGAGGAGGATGAGGAGGAGGAGGAAGCGAGTAGGAGGAGGAGGAGGAGGAGGGAGGAGGAGGAGCAGGAGGAGGAGCAGGAAAAGCGGAGGAGGAGGAGGAGCAGGAGGAGGAGGAGGAGGAGGAGGAGGAGGAGGAGGAGGAGGAGGAGGAGGAGGAGGAGGGGAGCAGGAGCAGGAGCAGGAGCAGGAGGAGGAGGAGGAGGAGGAGGGAGGAGGGGGAGGAGGACAAGCTAGGTGCGCTCGCGTCATATCTGACATCCTACCCCTCCCTCCCATCCCTTACCATGGCGCAGATCCCCTCTCTACTCGCACAGTCGGATGTCGAGCAGGGCAATGATCCCGAAAGGGTACGCGATGCATTGTAGAGCACGGCATGGCATGGCGTAGAAGAGCACCGCAAAGCGTAGTATCAACCTAGCATTGCATTGCATGCCGTGGCATGGCACGGGAAATGACGCCAGCGCTGCAGTGGGAGCACGAGTCGAAACGAGCGGAAGCGCGGAAGTGAGGCCAGCGCTGCAGCGGGAGCACGATTCGGAACGAGCGGCAGCACGCCAGAATCGTCCTGGGAGGCTTCCCGGGCGCCAGAAGCAGAAATTCTGAATTTTCAAAAGAAAAATGTATATTGGAATGGCGTTTTTTCGGCGCCGCCTCGGAACTCGATTTTCCGGCGCCGGCCGGAACCGGCTCCGGACCCGGCCCGGGCGCCGGCCTGGGCGCCGGCTTGGGCGCCTGGCCCGGGCGCCGGCTCGGGGGCCAGCCCGGGCGTTGGAATCGACCCGGGAGGTCCCCCGGGCGCCGGAAGCAGAAATTTAGCATTTTCGAAAAGAAAAATGTGTATTAGAATGGCCTTTTTTTGGCGCCGCCTCGGAGCTCGATTTTCCGGCGCGGGCCGGAACCGGCTCCAGACCCGGCCCGGGCGCCGGCCCGGGCGCCGGCTCGGGCGTCCGGCCTGGGCGCCGGCTCGGGCGCTGGCCCGGGCGTCGGAATCGGCCCAGGAGGCCTCCCGGGCGCCGGAAGCAGCAGTTTCAAAAGAAAAATGTGCATTAGAATGGCCTTTTTTCGGCGCAGCCTCGGAACTCCATTTTCCGGGGGCGGCCGGAACCGGCTCCGGACCCGGCGGCCCGAGCGCCGGCCCGGGCGCCAGCTCGGGCGTGCAGCCCAGGCGCCGGCGGAAATGATGCCAGCGCTGCAGCGGGAGCACGATTCGGAACGAACGGGGCTCGAAAATGACGCTGGCGCCTCAGCGAGAGCAGCATTTTGGAACACAAATGCAGGCGAAAACCTAACTCTGGGGAAACCTGTGTGTAAAAAACAATACGCGGAGGGGGGGCGAACACTCCCAAGACGTCATCAGGGGAAGAGGGAAAGTAGTATTCATATTGAGTAATTATGGAGTGGGGGGGAGGGGGAGGGGGAGGGGGACAAGCTAGGTGCGCCCGCGTCATATCTGACATCCTACCTCTCCTTCCCAGCCCTTACCATGGCGCAGATCCCCTCTCTACTCGCACAGTCGGATGTCGAACAGGGTAATGATCCCGAAAGGGTACGCGATGCATTGTAGAGCACGGCATGGCATGGCGTAGAAGAGCACCGCGAAGCGTAGTTTCAATCTAGCATTGCATTGCATGCCGTGGCATGGCACGTGAAATGACGCCAGCGCTGCAGCGGGAGCACGAGTCGAAACGAGCGGGAGCGCGGAAATGAGGCCAGCGCTGCAGCGGGAGCGCGATTCGGAACGAGCGGAAGCACGCCAGAATCGGCCCGGGAGGCTTCCCGGGCGCCAGAAGCAGAAATTCAGCATTTTTTTTTGTTTTTTTATTTTAAAAAAGAACAAATAACATGTGTACTGGAATGGCGTTTTTTCGGCGCCGCCTCCGAACTCGATTTTCCGGCGCCGGCCGGAACCGGCTCCGGACCCGGCCCGGGCGCCGGCCCGGGCGCCGGCTCGGGCGCCCGGCCCGGGCGCCGGCTCGGGCGCCGCCCCGGGCGTCGGAATCGGCCCAGGAGGCCTCCCAGGCGCCGCCGGAAACAGAAATTGAGCATTTTCAAAAATTATCCCGGCAAAGCAACCTAACAGCGATGTGTAGAAGCATATCTGAAAGCATTCCCCTTAAGCTTCAGATGAAAATCCAGTTGTAGAATTCTGCTGTTCTCGCAGTCGTAGTCGCATTCGCGATGACAGTCGCAGCGGCAACGGCAGTCGCAGTCACAGCCTCAGCCTCAGCCTGCCTCAGCCTCAGCCTCAGCCTGCCTCAGCCTCAGCCTGCCTCAGCCTCAGCCTCAGCCTCAGCCTGCAGCCTCAGCCTCAGCCTCAGCCTCAGTCTGCCTTCAGCCTCGGCCTCAGCCTCAGCCTGCCTCAGCCTCCAGCCTGCCTCGGCCGCAGCATCAGCCTGCCTCAGCATTCAAAATGTGGCCCAGGAATGGAGTTCTGGGAACTAGAAGAACACGAAGTGGCCTACAGTTGGCTCCGGGCATTCAAAATCATGCCCAGGAATGGAGTTCTGGGAACTTGAAGAGCACGAAGTGGCCTACAGTTGGCTCCGGGCATCCAAAATGTGGCCCGGGAATGGAGTTCTGGGAAATCGAAGAGCACGAAGTGGCCTACAGTTGGCTCCGGGCATCCAAAATGTGGCCCGGGAATGGAGTTCTGGGAAGTCGAAGAGCACGAAGTGGCCTACAGTTGGCTCCGGGCATCCAAAATGTGGCCCGGGAATGGAGTTCTGGGAGCACCACCAGCGATTTTGCGAGGATGTCCCAAGCGATTTCGGCTTCGGCGGCAGCCTCCCCGGGTCCCGCCCAGACCCCCCTGAGGAGTCATGATGCTCTTTTGAGACCACTAGAAACCTATCAGCAAGAGCTGTTAGGTAGAAATGTATTAGAATGGCTCTTTCTTCGGCGCCGCCTCGGAACTCCATTTTCCGGAACCGGCTCCGGCCCGGACGCCGGCTCGGGCGTGCAGCCCAGGCGCCGGCGGAAATGAGGCCAGCGCTGCAGCGGGAGCACGATTCGGAACGAGCGGGGCCCGCAAATAAGGCCGGCGCCTCAGCGAGAGCAGCATTTTGGGAAAAAATGCAAGCGAAAACCCAACTCTGGGGAAACCTGTGTGTTAAAAAAACAGTACGCGGGGGGGGTCGGCTACTCCCATTCCGTCATCAGGGGAAGAGGGAGAGTAGTATTCATATTGAGTAAATTGTGGAGTGGAAGTGGCGGTGGTTGGGGGCTGGGGGTGGGCGAGGAAAGACGATGAGGAGGAGACGCAGGAGGAGGAGGAGGAGGAGGAGGAGGAGGAGGAGGAGGAGGAGGAGGACAAGGAGGAGCAGGAGGATGATGATGAGGAGGAGGACGCGGAGGAGGAGGAAGAGGAGGATGAGGAACAGGAGACATATAAGGTGCTGCTGTTGATGACGATTGTGATGGTGATGGCGATGCGATGACGATGACGATGATAGTATTGATGATGGCTGTATGTGGCGATGCAGATGACGAGCGCGAATGTGATGACGATGACAATGACGACGAGGTTGATGATGGTGATGCTGCTGATGATGATGAGGACGACGATACTGACGATGAGGAAGCTGATGACGAAACCGACTACGATGATGCCACTGATGATGACGATGCTGATGATTCTGATTGTGGTGGTTATGCTGATTTTGCGTATGATGATGCTTATGAGGGATTTGGCGATACTCATAATGAAGAAGCTGATGGCGAAGCCGGCTAAGATGATGCCACTTATGATGATGAGGCTGATGATTATGATGATGTACGTGGTGATGATGCTGATCGTGCTGGTGATGCTGATGATGATGATGACGATGATGATGCTCATGACGAGGTTGCTGCTGATGTTGTTGATGATGACGCTGATAATGCTGATGCGGACGACGGCGATACTGACGATGAGGAAGCTGATGACGAAGACAACTACGATGATGTAACTTACGGCTGATGATCATATGATGATGGTGATGATGATGATGATGATGATCGCGATGACGATCATGCTCGTGATGATGATGCTGCTGATGATGATGATGATTCTGATGATGATGATGGGGTTGATAACGTTGACGATGTTGACGACGACGATGATGCTGATGCCGATGATGACGAGGATGATGCTTATGATGAACATGATAATGATGCTGCTGATGATGATGATGGCGATGATGCTGAAGGTGATGCTGATGATGGGAGGATGATGCTGCTGCTGATGCTGATGATGGTGGGGATGATCATGGTGATGACGATGATTCTGATTATGGTGATGATGATGCTGATGATGATGATGCTGATGCCGATGATCACGATGCTGATGATGATGATGCTGTTGATGATAATGATGATGCTGATGATAATGCTGATGGTGATGATGGTGATGATGGTGATGATGGTGCTGATGCTGATGAGGATGATGATTATTGTCATTATCATGTTTATGATTATGGTTCTTATCAATTTTATGATTGTGATGCTGACGATGGTTCTGATTATTATTATTATTAGCATGATCGTGATGATGATGCTGCTGATGATGATGCTGATTATGATGATGATGCGGATGATGCTGATGCTGATGATGATGATGATGGTGGTGGTGGTGACGATGATGATGATGATGATGATGATGATGATGATGATGATGATGATGATGATGATGATGATGTAGCACCATTGGTATTGCTCGGAGGGTCACGGCCCACTGCTATAACGCTGACAAGAAGGCTGCTACGATGAGGGCGAGGGCGGAGCAGGAATGGGGCGGAGGGTGAGAATTTTTAAGAGAAGGTGAACGGAGAAGTGAACTAGGGGTGGATGCGTGAACGATGATGGTTGTTGTGGTGGTGGTGGTGATGATGATGCTGATGCTGCTGATGACGATGATGATGCTACTAATGTTGTTCGTGGTTGTGATGACGATTCTGATGACGACGACTGCGAGTATGACGAGAACGACAGTGAGTATGACACCGACATGACGATGCATGATGGTGGTGATCATGAAGGAGATGATGGTATTGGTGATGACGATGCTGATGACGATGACGATGATGATGGTGGCGCTAGTGATGATGATGATGACGACGATGATGCTGATGACGACGAAGGCGACTACGTTGCTGACACTGATGATGGCACTGATGATGACAAGGATGATGACACTGATGATGACACTGATGATCCTGATGATGTTGATGCTGATGATGGTGATGAGGACGGCGATGCTGATAATGATGATGATAATCAGGAGGATGAGGATGATGACGAGGATGAGTGTGATGATGGTGATGAGGAGGAGGATGATGAGGCTGAGGATGCTGATGATGCCGATGCTGATGCCGATGCTGATGGTGTTGTTGAATATGATGATTGAGTGCGATGTCGATGATGCTTACAATAGTGCTGACTCTGATCATGATGCTGCAGATGATTATGAGGCTGATGATGAGGATTCTGAGGATGACGATCATGATGCCGAGGACGACATGGCGATGATGGTGATGATGATGATTCTGATGATGGTGATATCACGTAGATGATGAGGATGAGCTCGATGATGCTGATGATGATGGTGATGCGTATGATGCTTCTGATTGTGATGAAAACTGTAATGCGGATGATGATGATGAGTATGTCGATAACGATGCTGGTAATGCAGTTGATGATTGTGGTGATGCTGTTGATGCCGACGATGGCGATAGTGGTGGTGGTGAGTATGATGATGATGATGATGATGATGATGATGATGATGATGATGATGATGATGATGATGATGATGGTGATGCTGATGATGATGATGCTTCTGATGCTGATGCTGAGGCTTGTTTATGAGGATGATGCGGGTAATGAAGCTGATGATGCTGATGATGATCATGGCTATGTCGATGATGATGCTGCTGCTGATGATGATGATGATGATGATGATTATGATGATGATGCTGCTGATGATGATGATGATGATGATGATGATGGCGACGACGACCATGATGCTGATGTTTACGATGACGATGCTGATGCTGACATGCGATGCTGTTGATGATGCTGATGATGCTGATGCTGCTGATGCTGATGCTGATGACGATGATGATGTCAATGATGATCATGATGATGCTGATGCTGATGATGATGCCGATGCTGCTGATTCCGTTGTTATAATGATGATTCTGATGCTGATGATGATGTCCATGGTGATGTTGATGGTGATGATGCGGATGACGGTGATGATGCTGTTGAGGTTGCCGCTGCTGATGATGATGACGATGATTACGATTCTGATTATGATCAGGTTTATGTGTATGATGATGTCAATGGTGATGTTGGTGTTGATGTTGATGGTGATGCTGCCGTTGACGATGCGGATGCTGTTGCTGGTTATGATGCCGATGCCGATAATGATGATGTTGTTGATGATGCTGATGATGATGATGATGATGCTGATGATGGTGATAATAATGATAATGCTGCTGATGATGATGATGATGATGATGATGATGATGGTGATGATGATGATGATGATGATGATGATGATGATGATGATGATGATGGCGACGACGACGACCACGACGGCGGCGGCGGTGGCGACGATGACGACGTCGACGAATACGACGACGACGAACACGATCACGACGACGACGACTACGACCACGACCACGATGACGACGACGACGACGAGACGACGACCACGTCGACCACGTCGACTTCGAGGAGGAGAAGGAGGAGAAGGAGAACGAGAAGGAGGAGGCGGAGGAGGAGGAGGAGGCGGATTAGGAGGAGGAGCAGGAGTAGGAGGATGAGGAGGCGGAAGAGGAGGAGGAAGAGGAGGAGGATGAGGAGGAGGAGAAACACGTCAGACTACCAAGCATTCGAATAGTAGTAATAGTAATAGTAATAATCATAACGCTAATAATACGAATCATAGTGCCAATGCAAAGACAAACTTGATATATACATCTATATATATACGCACATTTATATATAATGATATTCAACATAATACAGAATGTTGGAGCTGCTATTAATAATATTTGTCATACTTGTAGTAATATACCATCAATCTTGCTAATACTGTTAATACTTTTAGTATTACCGTCGTACTAACAATAATCACCATACTACGCTTGTTACTAATAATCCAGCGAGTAAGAGCCGTAACACTATACGAAGACTGGGACGACGAATCAGACAAATCATCAGACGAAGAAGATTCATCATACCATTATGAATGCGATTCATAATGCTGATACTAATGCTACGAAGAACGCGTCGACGAAGAGGAGGATGAGGCGGAGGAGGTGGAGGGGGGCGGGGGAGGAGGATGCGGAGGCGGAGGGGGAGGAGGAGGAGGAGGAGAAGGAGGATAAGGGGGAGGAGGATGGAGATGAGGAGGCGGATGAGGATGAGGAGGAGGAAGATGAGGAGCGGGAGGAGGAGGAAGAGCGGGGACAGGTGCAGGAGCAGGAGCAGGAGCAGGAAGCGGAGGCGGATGTGCCAGCCAGGTTGCGTGGGCCTTCACGAGCTGCTTTCTGGCGGTGCTCAGCTCGGCCGTCGGTCCCGAGGCCATGCTGGTGTGGGGCTGGAGGCCAGTGGTACGCCAAACGGGGGGGTGGGAGGAAGAGGGGGGAGGGGTGGAGTACTCGGGGGGTGGGTGGGTGGGTGGGTGGCGGGTAGGGGGGGGGGGGAATACTCGGGGGGGGGGGGGGGTGGGGGGGTGGGGGTGGGGGGGTGGGGTGTGGTGGAGGGGGGGGGGGGGGTGAGGGCGGGCGGGGGATGGGGGAAGGGTCGGGGAGGAGTGGGGGATGGCGGGCGGGCAGGGGTCGGGGAGTGGAGGGGGGAGTGGGACTGGAGCAGGGGAGGGAGGGCTGATGACGGGCAGAGGCGGGGCGGCGGAGGTGGTGGGGCGGAGGATGGGCAGAGGAGGACTGGGGTGAGGGTAGAGAATCGGAAGAGAAGGAGGAGGATACGGAGGGGGAGGAGGATGAGGAGGAGGAGGAGGAGGAGGAGGATGCGGGCGGAGGAGGGGGAAGATGAGGATGAGGCAGGGGGGGAGGATGAAGATGAAGGAGTATGCTGATGATGATGATGATGATGATGATGATGATGATGATGATGATGATGATGATGATGATGGTTGTGGTGATGAGGATGGTACTGTTGCTGGCAATTCTACTGATGATGGCGATGCTGACGATGCTGATGCTGATGTTTGTGCTGATCATGATGCTGCTGATGATGATGCTGCTGATGGTACTGATAACGATAATGCTACTGATGGTGATGATTATGATGATGCCGATAACGCTGATGACGCTGATGACGATGATGCTGATGGTGCTGATGCTGATGATGCTGGTGATGTTGATGATGATGCTGATCATGCCGATGAGGATGATGCCTCGGATGATGGTACCGATGATGCTGATGCTGATGCTGCTGCTGGTGGTGATGATGATGACGCTGATTATGCAGATGATGCTGATGATGCTTTCTGATGGTGACGAGGAGGTGGACGATGAGGAGGAACATTTGGTTGAGGATGAGGAGGGATGACAACTATGAGGGACGTCGCACCATGCTGATGATGATGATAGTGAGGCTGTTGATGCTGATGACGATTCTGACGACACTGACGATGATGATGATATTGATGATGCTGATGCTGCTGCTGAGGATGATGACGGCGAGTATGATGTTCATGCTGACGACGAAGATGGTTGCGATGTTGCTGATGATGGTGATACTGATGATGATGCTGATGATGCTGCTGCTGATGATGATGCTGATATTTTTAATGATGATGCTGTGATGATGGTGATGCTGATGATGCTGATGATGCTGATGCGATGACGATTCTGCTGCTGCTGATGATGATGATGATGCTAATGCTGCTGAGGCTGCTGCTGTTGATGCTGATGATGCTGAGGGTGGTGATGGCGACGATGTTGATTATGCTGACGTTGCTGATGCTGCTGACGATGATGATGATGACGATGCTGCTGACGATGCTGGTGATGATGATGAGGATGATGCTCATGCCGATGATGCTGACGATGATGATGCTGATTGCGATTATGCTGAGTATGACGGTGTCGCTGCTGCTGCTGATGGTGCTTATGATGATGCTGACTGATGATGATGCTGATGCTGATGCTGCTGCTGCTGACGATGATGGTGGTGCTTGTGATGATGATGGTGATGATGCTGATGGCGATGTTGACGATGACGCTGATGAAGATGCTGCTGTGAGGATGATGCTGTTGATGCCGATACCGATGGTTCTGATGATGCTGATGATGCTGATGATGATGCTCTGAATGACTAGGATGAGGTTGATGAGGAGGTGTGATGATGTTGAGGGTGCGCCCCACGATACGGATGAGGATTATGCTGGAAATGATGATGATGCTGATGATGATGGTTTCGATGATGATGATGCTGATGATGATGCTTATGACGATGATGATGAGGATGGTGATGATGATTCTGACGATGCTGACTACGATAATGGTGATGAGGTTGATGCTATGATGATGAGGATGATGAACATGAGGATGCTGATGCTAATGCTGATGCTGATGATGATGCTGCTGATGATAATGATGCTGCTGATGCCGATGATGTTGATGATGCTGATGATGATGGTTATCATGACGATTTCGATGACGAGGAGGAGAAGGATGATGATGAGGAGCAGGGACGAGGAGGAGGGAGGACGGACGATGATGATGAGGATGATCATGAGGATGCTTATGCTGATGTGGTGATGATGATGATCATGATGGTGGTGCTGGTAAAGATGACGGTGCTGATGCTGATGATGATGATGATGCTGCGGATGGTGATGATGATGATGATGATGATGATGATGAACATTATGAGTATGATGATGATCATGATGAGATGATGAGAATGATGACGATAATGATGATTACGATTATGCTGATTAGGACGATGCTGCTACTGATTATGGTGAGAATGTTTGAGACGATGCTGATTCTGCTGATGATAAGGATGCTGGTCATGATGATGATGATGATGATTGTGCAGCTGCTGATGATGCTGATGAGGATGATGACGATGCTGATGGTGATGCTGATGGTAATGATGATGACGATGACGATGACGATGATGATGATGATGATGATGATGATGATGATGGTGATGATGGTGATGCTGATGGTGATGATGATGTTGATGTTGATGGCTATGTTGATCCTTTTGATCATGCTGATGCTGATGAGGTTGATGATGTCGAACGTGACGATGCCGATGACGATGGCGAGGATGTTGATGACGATTACGACTACGAAGGTGATGATGATGATGATGATGATGATGATGATGATGATGATGATGATGATGATGATGTTGCTGCTGCTGATGATGATTACTAGCCGGCCGCTCTGCGATTGATTGGGAGTTCCTGTATATAGAAGAAGAGGCGTGCGCTTCTCGGTGAGAGGAAAATGAGCGTGATGAGAATGAGCGTTAGGATCAGGAAGGCGAGGCTTGCGAGGCGGTGGATCAGGAGAGTGAGGGTCACGCGGGTGAGGATCAGGCGAGCGTGGAGCAGGAGGGTGAGGATGTGGAGAATGAGAGCCAGGAGAGCGAGGATGGCGATAATGAAAATCAGGAGGGTGAGGATCGTGGAGCAGGAGAGGGGCACCAGCTGAGGAGAGCGAGGATCAGCAGAAAGAGGATCACGATAAGAGGGAAGATCAGGATAATCCAGGAGGGTGAGGATGAGGAGAGCGATAATCACGAGAGTCAGGAAAATGAGGCCAAAGAGGCGCCTTGTCTGTCCACGACCAAGTTTGGCCCAAAAATGCTACAAGAAGCAATCGAGAGGCCTGCTCCTCCTCCTCCTCCTCCTCCTCCTCCTCCTCGAAGCCAGCGCGTCGGCTGTACGGTAGGTCCCGACAGGCTTCTACCATTGACCCTGACCGTGCAAGCATCCAGCCCCTCCCACTCCCATGCTCACAACCTCCTCCTCCTCCTCCACCTCCCCGAACTCTCCTCCTCCTCCTCCTCCTCCTCCTCCGCCTCCTCCTCCTCCTCGTCTTTCTCCTCCTCGGCCTTTCCCCGGATCTCGCTTGAAATGGAGCAGGGGGGTCTCTGAGGGCCTCCTCGGGGAGGCTCTGGGGACGGTTTTTTCTGAGGATGTCCCACGCGAGGGCGCCGTTTTGGAATTCGTCGCCGGGTTCGCCGGATTCGCTGGGTTCGCCGGATTTCGCCGGATTCGCCGGATGTTCTGGATTTCGCCTGAAATTGAACAGGAGCGCCTTCTAGGGGGAGGCACCAGGGGCGGTTTCTGCTGAGGATGCCCCACGCGAGGGCGCTCGTTTGGAATTCGTCGTCGGATCCGCTGGATTCGCCGGATTTCGCCGGATTCGCCGGATTTCCCGGAACTCGCCTGAAACAGAACAGGGGGGCCTCTGAGGGCCTCCTTGGGGAGGCTCCGGGCGCGGTTCTTCTGAGGATGTCCCACGCGAGGGCGCTGGTTTGGAATTCGTCGCCGGATTCGCCGGATTTCGCCAGATTCGCTGGATGTCCTGGATCTCGCCTAAAACGGAAAGGAGCCTCCTTGCCTGCAGGGGCGGTTTTTCTGAGGATGTCCCACGCGAGGGCGCCGGTTTGGAATTTATCGCCAGGTTCGCTGGATTCGCCGGACGTCGCTGGATTCGCCGGATTTCGCCAGAGTCGCCGCATTTCCCTGAACTCGCCTGAAACAGAACAGGGGGGCCTGTGAGGGCCTTCTTGGGGAGGCTTCGAGAACGGTTTTTCTGAGGATGTCCCACGCGAGGGCGCCAGTTTGGAATTCATCGCCGGATTCGCCAGATTTCGCCAGGTTCGCCAGATGTCCCGGATCTCGCCTAAAACGGACAGGAGCCTCCAGGAGCGGTTTTTCTGAGGATGTCCCACGCGAGGGCGCCGGTTTGGAATTCATCGCCGGGTTCGCTGGATTCGCCGGACGTCGCCAGATTCGCCGGATTTCGCCATTTCCCGGTATCTCGCCTGAAACAGAACAGGGGGGCCTGTGAGGGCCTTCTTAGGGAGGCTCCGAGAACGGTTTTTTTTTGAGGATGTCCCACGCGAGGGCGCTGGTTTGGAATTCGTCGCTGGATTTGCGGGATTCGCCGGACGTCGCCGGAGTTCCCGGATCTCGCCTGAAACGGAACAGGGATTCCTCTGAGATTTGCGGAGGCTCCCGGCGCGGTTTTTCTGAGGATGTTCCACGCGAGGGTGCTGATGTGGAATTCGTCGCTGGATTTGCCGGATTTCGCCAGATTCGCCGGATTCCTCGGAGTTCGCTTGAACTGGAGCAGGGGGGCCTCTGAGGGCCTCCTTGGGGAGGCTTCGGGGGCGTTTTTTTCTCAGGATGTCCCACGCGAGGGCACCGTTTTGGAATTCGTCGCTGGACTCGCCGGATGTCGCCAGATTCGCTGGATTTCCGGAATCTTGCCTGAAACGGAACAGGGGTATTCTGAGGACCTCATTGGGGAGGCTCCAAGGGCGGTTTTCCTAAGGATGTCCCACGCGAGGGCGCCGGTTTGGAATTCGTCGCCGGATTCGCCAGATTCGC